AAAAATCAAAGGCTGCCACATGCCGCCCAACAATGTTGACGCCGTCCTCTACCTCCCTCCGCCCCCAACCAACACCCCTCGGCTGCGACTTTTGCTGTTGTTAAAAACTGCGGCCGCAGCCAAACACCGGCAACCATTTACTGTAATTCCTTTTATTGTTGCTGGCCCGTGTTGTTGTTTCTGTTTTTCTTTTTTATTTTCATAAACTTTCAATAATTTTTTACTTTTACCCATTGGCTGTAGCGCTACGACGAAAGTCCAAGGCATTTGAGATTAGTTCAAAGAAGAGAAGGCCTCTCAGAGTCTTAACCAAGTGTTTACGACTATAGGAAATCACTCTAATACTAATACTAATACTAATACTAGTACTAATACTAATACTAATACTAATACGAAGACTAAGACGAAGACGAAGACGAAGACGAAGACGAAAACGAAGACGAAGACGAAGACGAAGACGAAGACGAAGACGAAGACGAAGACGAAGACGAAGACGAAAACGAAGACGAAGACGAAGACGAAGACGAAGACGAAGACGAAGACGAAGACGAAGACGAAGACGAAGACGAAGACTAAGACGAAGACGAAGACGAAGACGAAGACGAAGACGAAGACGAAGACGAAGACGAAGACGAAGACGAAGACGAAGACGAAGACGAAGACGAAGACGAAGACGAAGACGAATACGAAGACGAAGACGAAGACGAAGACGAAGACGAAGACGAAGACGAAGACGAAGACGAAGACGAAGACGAAGACGAAGACGAAGACGAAGACGAAGACGAAGACGAAGACGAAGACGAAGACGAAGACGAAGACGAAGACGAAGACGAAGACGAAGACGAAGACGAAGACGAAGACGAAGACGAAGACGAAGACGAAGACGAAGACGAAGACGAAGACGAAGACGAAGACGAAGACGAAGACGAAGACGAAGACGAAGACGAAGACGAAGACGAAGACGAAGACGAAGACGAAGACGAAGACCAAGACTAAGACGAAGACGAAGACGAAGACGAAGACGAAGACGAAGACGAAGACGAAGACGAAGACGAAGACGAAGACGAAGACGAAGACGAAGACGAAGACGAAGACGAAGACGAAGACGAAGACGAAGACGAAGACGAAGACGAAGACGAAGACGAAGACGAAGACGAAGACGAAGACGAAGACGAAGACGAAGACGAAGACGAAGACGAAGACGAAGACGAAGACGAAGACGAAGACGAAGACGAAGACGAAGACGAAGACGAAGACGAAGACGAAGACGAAGACGAAGACGAAGACGAAGACTAAGACGAAGACGAAGACGAAGACGAAGACGAAGACTAAGACTAAGACGAATACTAATACTAATACTAATACTAAGACTAATACTAATACTAATACTAATACTAATACTAATACTAATACTAATACTAATACTAATACTAATACTAATACTAATACTAATACTAATACTAATACTAATACTAATACTAATACTAATACTAATACTAATACTAATACCAATACCAATACTTATACTAATGCAGCGCATTTTGCAGTTGATATAGCTTTCACTTTTGAACTTTGCCAAAGATGTTCTTACTCACGTCTTTGCATTTTTTCCTTATTAATTTTGGTGCAATTTTTCGCCCCCTTTAGCGGGTTTTCGTTGGCGCTTGCCCCTTGGCCCTATCCGACTGGCGTCTTTGATATGGCTATTGTTGTTGCTGTTGTTGTTTATGACTGTTGCTGCCTGCAGCTTATCGTAATTCATTTGGCGTTTTTCCTTTCGTTTCCTTTTATTATTTTGCATATCTGAACGGTCTGCATTAATTCTATATTGAATCCTTTTATAGACCGTAAGGAGTTGGCATTGCCGTCATCTGTTAGTCAAAGCTTTGGTTACATAAGTTTATATATATACTATTTTTTATTGTCTGTCTGTCTGAGTGAGCGGGGGGCGTGTGTGTGGCTGCAACTTGAAGTTGGCTGCATTGCGTGCCAGCGTTACTTTAAGTGTTTCCCCACAAAACAAAAACAAAAATTGTCAGTTAAGCGACCCACGAATTACTTGCACAATACAGAAAAAAACACAAGCCTCGGTTCCCAGTGAAAAGTAATTATATGCCACACATATTGAATCATTCTCTTCTCTCCCAACCTCTCCCATACACATACATATATATTGAACAGATTACAGATCTGTGCTCCGGAAGTTGACATTAAACAGACTCAAAAGCTAAAAGGAAAACGCCAAAAGAAAGAACAACAAAACTGGAATAAAGTGAAAAAGTAGTTAAATACATGAAAATTACAAGTGCAACAAACAAATAAATAAATAACATTAAATAAATTGAAAAACATGAAAAAGACTCCACTCCAACAACAACGGAGCGAAAGGAACTGAAAGAATGAAGTAGACGAATATTGAATGCTCTGTTAAAAGTAAGCGAAATATGAAGTTTATAGAGTGCTAAACTTAAAATGAACTCGAGATAATTTTGTAAGGAATATTAGTTAGGTATATGGAATATACGTTTTAGGTAATGGATATATGAAACTTATAGAGTGTTTCATGAAAACGAGTTCTAGATAATATTATAAGATTAGAGGTAAGGGATATTTATAAGGGTTAAGAGATATATGAAGCGTATGGCGTGTTCCTCTGAAAATGTTCTCTAAATTGTCTTATAGGATTCACGAGATTATGTATACAATATATGTCTATCTGCGTATATGAACTCTTTATATATTATATTATACATTAAATATTATATACAATTCGTACTCAAGACATTTCAATTTAAGAATTGAAGTCAGCTTAGTCCAATCGATAGCTCACAGTATAAGTACCTTTTGGTAGAGTATCAGCAATGGAAAACGGATTTACTAAAACTGTCTCAAGATATTCGGATATTCGAGTTGTTTCCATGCCATGTCTATGCCATATCATATCGGGGCAGAGCTCACACTTATTTTTTAATTGTGGTAGAAATGGAGTAATGATGTGCTACAGTGGATACCCGGCAGTTGATACCGTGATACCGACTTCGACTTTGAGCTGGGGCTTCAACTTGGGCACTCGGAAGTGGGCATTTTTACTTAGTATTTTATACTATTATTGTTATTATTTTAGTGCTGTCGCTGGTGAGCAAACAGAAAGTTGCACGTTCGCCCAGCAATGGGGCAAGCAGCAGACGCAAAGCGCCGAACTTGGAGAGCGGGGTGGGGGAGGGAGGGGCTCGTCTAAGGTAGCTGGGAGCCACGTTTCTACGCAACCACATCCGGCATTTGTGTGAGTGCAAGATTTACGCTCCCACACACGGAAAAATGCTTTTGGAAAATAAAATTTACTTAGCCACCGACTGCCACTCTGACCGAGGCTGCGAGAGCGCGAGAAAGTTCACTGGGTCAACTTGGTAGCGATTGTGGGCCCGGCTCTGGTTTTGGCTTTAGCTTTGGCTTTACCTTTTGGCTGTAGCTCAGACACCAACTTGGCCCGTCCTGTGCTTGCCTTGATGTTCAGCTGTCAAAAGCCGCAAGGGTTCCAACTCGAGTAGCTAAAAGTATAACAAAACTTGCAACATTCACTTGCCACTTACAGCTGCGTAGGTTGCACTCAGCCTGAATCATAATACCGTTCGCCACAAAGGCGTTGATGGGGTCTTCAATTGCCGCGATACAGCTTAAAGTCTTATAGTTCCGAAATTCCAATGCCTTTTCTTAAGCCCATGTTCCCTTTGAGCCAGGCTCACATTTCCTACACAACTTTTCATATTGACTATACACACTCTCATTGCAGTCCTTCAGTGTCACTTTCTTTTAATTTAATCTATACTTCCTTCCACTTGTCTGCGTTGCTTTCCTCAAGCACTTTCTCTAGCTTCTTGTTATTAAAAATTTGCATGTCGTCGAACCTGACGTACGCCTGTCAGGACCTGGAAATTACTTTTTTTCTGTTGGCCTCTTAGTTGAATTAGTCGCTCCTAATAATAATACAGTAAAGTTTTTTTATACGCCTTACATAACATTTTTTGTATCATTTTATTTATTTTTTTTTTTGGTTTTTTTTTCATTTTTTTTTGTTGGCACCTTGGCAAAAGAGAGTTCGAGGGTCACGCTGGCTGCCCACCGGAACAGGGTGCATTGAGCAGGGCGCCGAGGGTTGAGAGGGGAGCAACTGTGACTTGGTCTTAAGTCCATCAATCATCAGTCACATTTCGAGCTGCGCTGCCAGCGTCGCGCACTCAACGTAACATTCAAATCAATCAAAATGACGACGAAGCAGCAACGACGACTTCTGGCTGTTAAAACGAATTGGCAGCCCAGCCAGCCCAGTCAGCCCAGCCAGGCAGCCAGTGGGACTGCCCATTCCCATTTATGCAAAACAAAAAAAAAAAAGCAAAAGAAAAACGTATAAATAATTTTTCATCGAATATGTGAAAATAGCGAAAATGTGCTGCGGCCTGATGAAGTTGTTCAGGCTCAAACTCGACTACCCTACCCTGCCCTGCCTCTGCCGCGGCATTTACACCCACTCCAGTGGCTGTATGATGAGTAATGTGCAGGATCGTTGCTGCCCGCTCGCATTCGGAATGGGGCTGTTGGAATAATGTTCATATGGCGTGCGCTGGCAACAGGCACGACAAACTCTGCACTTTGGCCCATATGGCCGAAAGTCCACATAATGATCGATAATATACTGCCTCATGAATGCTCTTAAATTGGATCCGAGAGAGAGAGAGGAAGGGCTTAGTTATGGCTTTCTTATAAGTCTTTATCCTTCCTTCATTTAAGCTTAGCTAACAGTCAGTAAATCAGTTAATTATCAATCAATAAAAATATTTCTAATAATATATCAATCAATCTATCTATCTATCAATCTATATCTGATCAGATATTCACTTGGGTTATTTTCCTTGTGTTAAATCTAGTAGACTTTTCGTTATGTTATACCGGAGTTGGCCATGGAAATCCAAAAAGTTTCCCATTGGCCTCTGGGTGAAAATATATTCAGTTTCACTTCTACGTTTAGATAATAAGCATTTCATCGTTCTTTCCATTAATCTCTAGTTTTTGTGTTTATGTTTCACTGCTATCGAAATTTTATGTGATTTGAATTTTAGAGTGTAATTGCAAAATTGTTTCGTGATGTTATCGTTCGTTAAGTTATCACAACCTTGGATGAAGCCTATTCGCAGCACTTGCATGCTTTTCTTACGCTCTCCTACACGCCATTACAATGAGCACAGCAATAAGAGTGAAGACGACGACGGAGAGAGGCCAACAAAGATCTCGGCGGCTGCTCAACTTGCTCAGACCGTGGAGAGCGATACCAAGCTGGAGTCGCCCGAACCGGTGCAGCGCATGGTCGAGCTGGAGAATGTACGTTCCCGGATAAACGAGCTTGATCAGCGGAAGTTGCGGCATCAGGAATACGCCCAGATGCTCAAACAGCTGATCATCAAGCCCAGCAACTATACCCAGGAGCCGAAGCTGCCATTTAAACAGCCCCTACCAGCCAACAACATGCGTCACTCGCTTCGCAACTGCTCCAGCATCGAGGAGGTACTGCTGTTGACCAGTGATCCATATCAGCTGGCAAACGAGCTGGTTCGCCTCTCCTGGGAGCTAAATACCGAGAAGCGTAAAAACGATGTCGTACTGGAGGGCTATCTAGAGCTAAAGCAGGAAATTCTCAAGTCCAAGTTGAAGCCCAACTAGGAATAGAAGCGGTTCACATCTATATAGCTATCAAACGAAGCAGAAGAGAAACTGACGATATTGGCAACATCCGTAGACATATGGCATCATCGTTCACGGGCTGTCGTTCAAATAATTTGCTTAACAAGATTTTTTGTCGTTTGCAAAATGTATTTTTCACAACAAATACTCAGTTGATTAAGGTTAGATAATATAAATACAGACGTTTTATTTATCATGAACGTTAGCATTTGCTGGTCGGCTTTCATTATCTTTTTAGCTATATCGAATAGCCTACAGTTGGACAGGATGTCATCAATAAGTCGTGTGATCAGCTCCATAATAAGTCGAGCTGCATCATCGTCACTGCGATCATCACGGTAGAGCGCCGTATATGCGGATTTTTATTTCGATTTTTTTTGTGTAAGCTATAAAATGTAGTTTTATTAAAGAAAACGAAACAGATTCTAAAGAATTTTTCGCAAGTTGTTTCGGTGTCGGCGACAACGACGACATAAATTTAAAACCACCTACACATAAATTTTTCTAGATATTCATACGACAAAACAAATAAAAAAACGGCACACAAAAAATGAACTGCAATAATCACAACAACAAAAACAAGCAGCAGCAAGTGCAACTGTCAACTATTAAATGACATTTAACATGCCTACGAGGAGGCAGCACGATCTGAAGGAGGTGCAGAACGCTGAAGGGGCAGCTATGCAGCAGTGCAGCGCTGTGTCGTCGAGCTATGGCTGCATTAGTTTCTTAAAATATCATTTCAAATTTCAAATCAAGTCATCAGCAGTGCGCCAGGCAGCCACAGATCCAGCCCAAGACAGCAGATCGCGAGACGACGGAGACCAGGGCAACATTCACTCTCTGTATATCTGACCGGGGGCTGATGACAACAGCAGCAACAGCAGCAGCAGCAGATTTTTATTTATCAGTCGTCGCTGTTGTTGTTTTTGTGGAGATTGCATGCACAAGTACACATATATGGATATTTTCAATTATAATTTATATGCGATCATATACGTATTTTTAGACAAATGAAATCTGCGCGCCCCAACTACAGTGCAGTCCGTGTTGCCAAGTGTCAGCTGATAATAAAACTAAATCGAAGCGAACTAAATAGAGAAAATTCCTTGAGGAAAAGTAGCTGCGACAAGTCTGCGAGTCGCCTTTCCCAAGTCCTTTGAAAGTTGCATAACTTTACAAATATTAATTGCATTTCTCTAGTTCTCATTTTTACCGTTTTCTATCTAGAAATTTGCTTGCTTTATATCCTCAACACTTTGGAAAGTTTTATAGTTCATATTTGTGATCTGGCAGCGCCTGCGCATGCAAATGACTTTGCGAATTTTGTAGCGTTTTGCTGGCAGAGCTTGAACTCGATCTTTGGCTTTTGGCTTTCTGCTGCGGAGCTCTTTAGAAAGTTTTATTTGTTATTTTGGTTTTTTTTTGGCAAATCATAAACGCGACTATCAAAAATGGCGCCAGCAACTATACAACGCCGCACCAGCATAACCAGCGCCTTGGCACCGCATCATGGTCATGGATCAAAGCACAGCACAGCTCAACTCAGCTCAGTTCGGTTTTACTTGGGCTGGAACTGAGTTTGGCTTAAAATTTAAATATGCCAAACGAAGTCGTCGTACAGTTGCCACGAAGTTGGATAAGCTGACTCAGCCAGCCAGTCAGGCAGTCAGTCAGTCAGTCAGCCAAGCGCGTAGGGCTCAACGCCGCCGCCGCCCTCGTCCCGCGTTCCCCACACAACCGTCAGCTCCTCTCTAAATAGTGCGTCCCGGGCACGCATTAAGTGCGCACGAGTCTTGGGTTTTTGGGTCTTATCTATGTAGACTTGCCTCAAACGCCGCATTCCACCTGCTTCAGACTGTGCGCCATTTTGGAATTTTGTTTTCTGGACGAATGCGCCTAATTTAAATTAACTAAAATTCATATACATATCTCTCTATCTATACGCATATATATATATATATATATATATATATATACAAATTTGGAATTTGAAATTTGGAATTTGAAATGTTATGCTCATTGTTAGATTTAGGTGTACGCGAGTTATTTTGACTGGTTTTTTTTTTAAGTTTTTTGTGGGTTTTTGTATTTGGCTAATTAGCGTGGTTCATGGGAAACACATGGGGAAATGGCTCTTGGCTCGTTTCCACCCGCAGCCCATAACCCAAATTTCTTTTGAAGCATTTATAATGCCAAGTTGCTTATTCATATTAGGTTTTTTATTCGTTTTTTTTTTGTTTTCGGTTTTTGATTATTACTATTCTCTCTTTTTTTGCATAAATTAAACCTTTTTTGTACATCAGCAGACATGATTTTGAAATAAAAGCCGCGTAGATAGCTAGATAAATATAACGAAATAATATATTAGTTGGATATACATATTTCAAATATTAGTTGATATACATAGGCATCTTTTGATATCGGTTTAAGCTAAAATAAAGCTAAACAGTATTGAATTTATATTATATAAATACATTTTTCAAAATAAAATAATTTCAAAAAAAAATATTTTTTTTAAGAAAATAAAAAAAAAATAGTGAAATCAGAGTAAAATTTTAAAATTTAACTTAAGTACATTTCTTAGTGGATAATTAATTTTTTAAGATTTAATTTAATTATATTTTTAAATATAATAATTGTTATTTACATTTTGAACAAGATAATAATTTTTTAAAATTTTGAATAGAGATTAAAAAATTAAATGTTTATTTAAATTTGTAAAAAGATAATGTATAATTTAAATAGATTTTTAAATAATGAAAAATTTGAATAAAATAGCCTACAATATATATATCTATCAATATATGCATTCGTATATATATATATTTATTTTTATACTATTTAAATACTTTACATAACAATTGAAAATTTCACAAAAAACGAATCCGGCTTATGCGCTGCAATATGCCCTGGGCAAAAGCGTGTAGCGCATAGCCAAAAAGTTATTAAAGCGTAAATTCGAGACTATTATGATTATGTAGATCTCGCAGTACCCTGTGCGTATATTGTTTTAAGCTTTAGTGCGAGGTTCACACTATAACAAAAAAAATTAGTAATGTCTGCGTGTTGTTGTTGTTGTTGTTTATAGTGTTGCTCGCATTTAGTTTATTGTTGCTATTTCACCAGTTGGCTGGCTGAGTTCAATGACTAATTTATGAAAGTTAGCCTGACTTGGCTTTTATTGGGCATGAGCCGGAAATACCAAGTGCGCGCCTCCCCCAGCACTACCCCACCCATGCTGCTGCTCAGTCAGACTGAGCGCTCAGGTAAATAGTTAACATTCAATTGCCGAGCTATCTCTGAAAATTTGTAGCAAGAAGTTGCAACTGCTCAAACACAAACTCAGAATGAAAAGGCAGCCGACAAGGACCTTTCCGGGAAGGGCGGACACGCTGGCTTATCTGCGGTCGCGGTTGCCTCAACCATTTTCGTGTTGACATGTGAATTTTCGCACGCACTTGTTGCACGTTGCGCGTTACCTGTTCCTCATCTATTTTTTCTGTTTCCTTTACTTTGCGGCTAACCAGGATGCTAATCGGCCTCAGTGCTGGGCGTGTGCCGACAAGAGCCATGTCCAGGATATCCTGTGCTTCTTCAGCGTGTGATAACTGCATGTTGCCCCTGCCGCTGCCATCATGCACTCCTACTCTTACTACTAGACCTCCTCCTTTGCTTCTTCTGTGTGGAATTTTAACGCCCGTAATTGAATTATAAAGCGCAGTCCGAAAAATGATTTAATTGTATATATGGCACAACTGTGTAAATGGTAAATGTGGCACACATATACTCAAGCTCACACGCACACAGACATATATATATATATCGAGTATATCAGCATCTATTTGCTTTGGCATTTGCCGACTCGCCGACTAAATCAATTTTTATGTCGCACTTTGCAGTTAATGTGGAGCGCCGACACCGGCCACATGCCCCATTTGGTGGCAACACCAACTGCCCCTCAGCCACGTACATTAAATATGCATCAAAAATTGATGATGATGCATTTTTAACGATTCGACAAAGATTTTTATGTCGTGCATTTGACAAGATTCGACAGAGTCAACTGACGGATTGCCAAGCTGATCCGTGATCTGCAGCATGATGCATGATCCATTCCTGTCCCATACAATAGTCGTTGCTGCTGCTGTTGTTGTTGTTGTCATTGTTGTGTGTCTGGCGAGTCGATTGGATTTTGATGACCTTTTGATAAATTCCCTTTTTTCGTCTGCCATTATTCGATTGTTAAAGGCTTTTGTTTGATGTGATTTGCTTTCAATAAGAACGCCTACATCAGCACACACACAAGCACACACACACAGGTGGGACAGTAGTACATGTCAACGCCGTTGGATGGCGCTGTAGGAGCAGTTAGCCGCATCGCTTTGGCTCACACGCTGCGCGTCGGCCTGGACAGGTCGTAATTATTTTTGTGGCCAAATTGAATTGAATTAAATTGTGAATGTGAAACAGCACAAGAAGCAGAAGTACTAGTAGTAAAGAAGAAGCAGCAGCAGCAGCAGAAGTCGCTGTAGAAGTAGATGAAGCCAAAGCAGCGCACAAATGAACAACGAACTTTTTGGCCACAGTTGAGCGATTCTTGGGTGTCGTTGTCGTAGTTGTTGTCGTTGTTGTTGTTACTGTTTTGTGCTCATCGTCACTAGCCAGTGACGCCGCGGCTCACTTGCACCTGCACAATGACGACGACGACGACGACGATGGCGACGACGACGACGATGACGCTCCACACCGAGACGACGTCGCCTAAGTATCTTTCCCAGTTGCTGTTGCTGTTGCTGTTGCTGTTGGTGTTGCTGTTGCCATGCCCAACTACACACTTCCAGGCACTGTGGCAACAGCCATCATCAGCATTCGTGGCCACTGTCACTGTCAAGCGTAATCATAATTTATTGTAATTATTTTGTATTATTTTTTAAAATTGTTTTAATGAGTCGTCGCCATCGTCGACTTCGCCAGCAGCGCCTTTTGTCGACGTTTCTTTGGCTGTCGCTGCGATCGCTTTGGATTTTTACCTGATTTTCCAACAGCATGAATTCAACAACGATGTTCAGTTAATTTTACCGCAGTCACCTCGATCTGCCAGTAATTACATTATAGATACCAGTACGTATTTCCATGTTATGATTACCGTTGTTTGCCAGCAACAGCAACAACAACAACAACAATAACAATAACAGTTGCTGTAACGACACTTTTCTGGCATTTTGTCAAACGAAATTTCATAATCGGAAGTGTTGACTCTTTATGTGTGTATGTGCCAGTATATGTAAGTGTGTGTATTCAACTGCTATTACCGAGTACTTTTAATGAGGCTCAATTATTGAAATTTCTCAAATGCAGCAGAGCTGTAAGAAATCAACTTCCCTACAAGTTTTGTTTTTAGCTTTGGATTACATGCGATTTGCTGCTGTGGATGCTATGTGGAACGCAATAAACATAAAGTCTTTCTATGAGCGATGGCTCCTTGTTAATGACAAGTCGAGGCAGTTGTGGAACGCGTGTGGAACCTATGAAGGCTAGTGCTTGGAATTCAAATGTATAGGCATACGAAATCGCCAGGCTTAAAATAAATCCTGCTTTACTTTAGAGTGAATGCGTCTCATAGGTTGAAGATGATGATTTGATTGCAGGTGAGATACAGAGATGCATGTATATATATATACATACATATCCCCATTTCTCTCTCCAAATTGAGCAAGTGATGACAGTTTTAGATGCTGACGTTGTCGCATTGCTCAAATGGCTGGGCACCTGTTGATCTTATGCAAATATCAAATAGTTATACTCTGAACAATAAGATCCCTTACAAGATCCACAGAGGCATGGACAAAGCAAGTACACATGCTCATTTTGATAAGAGCGTGTTGTTGTTTTCAAATCTTTTGTTTGAACTTTATCAGACGAGGCTTGCGTGCACTATACAGCGCATGAATTGGGTGCCGGGGAGTCAGGTGGATGGGAGGGGGAGGTTATGCGGCTAGCGGGGGTGTTGTCTCCGGTCTACGTATTTGTATGTGTATTTTGTGTTGTGTTCTTAAAGATTTCTGGCTTTGATGTGGGCTGTGACGATAAGATAGCATTGTCCACAAAAAGCAACGCTTACCACGGCTCTGTAGGGGAGTAGGGACGGAGCAGATTCAGCCTCTGCCTCAGTATCACAGTCAGTGTCAGGGCTAGTGGCACTGCATGCCAAAGCAATGAGGCTGATTTCCTAGAATAAATTGTGATTTCGTTTAAATAGTTGGTAAGTTGCCCGCCCCCCCGCTCGACCAAACAACAAATAACACATATCTTAAAGAACGCTCTACAACAATCGCAATCAAACAAATTCCAAAAAACATTCTGTTTACATGCTGATAATGGAGGCTGTCAAATGTCCAAAAGCCACAAGACCTGGCATCTAGAAGAGCAAACAAGATTGCGACTGACGCACAGCATCACCAACTCAATCGGTACCTGAATCTATATTTTGGGAAATGTTACTATATCTTTGTATTATATTTTATCTGTATCTGTATCTGTATCTGTATCTGTATCTGTATCTGTATCTGTATCTGTATCTGTATCTGTATCTTTATCTGTATCTGTATCTGTATCTGTATCTGTATCTGTATCTGTATCTGTATCTGTATCTGTATCTGTATCTGTATCTGTATCTGTATCTGTATCTGTATCTGTATCTGTATCTGTATCTGTATCTGTATCTGTATCTGTATCTGTATCTGTATCTGTATCTGTATCTGTATCTGTATCTGTATCTGTATCTGTATCTGTATCTGTATCTGTATCTGTATCTGTATCTGTATCTGTATCTGTATCTGTATCTGTATCTGTATCTGTATCTGTATCTGTATCTGTATCTGTATCTGTATCTGTATCTGTATCTGTATCTGTATCTGTATCTGTATCTGTATCTGTATCTGTATCTGTATCTGTATCTGTATCTGTATCTGTATCTGTATCTGTATCTGTATCTGTATCTGTATCTGTATCTGTATCTGTATCTGTATCTGTATCTGTATCTGTATCTGTATCTGTATCTGTATCTGTATCTGTATCTGTATCTGTATCTGTATCTGTATCTGTATCTGTATCTGTATCTGTATCTGTATCTGTATCTGTATCTGTATCTGTATCTGTATCTGTATCTGTATCTGTATCTGTATCTGTATCTGTATCTGTATCTGTATCTGTATCTGTATCTGTATCTGTATCTGTATCTGTATCTGTATCTGTATCTGTATCTGTATCTGTATCTGTATCTGTATCTGTATCTGTATCTGTATCTGTATCTGTATCTGTATCTGTATCTGTATCTGTATCTGTATCTGTATCTGTATCTGTATCTGTATCTGTATCTGTATCTGTATCTGTATCTGTATCTGTATCTGTATCTGTATCTGTATCTGTATCTGTATCTGTATCTGTATCTGTATCTGTATCTGTATCTGTATCTGTATCTGTATCTGTATCTGTATCTGTATCTGTATCTGTATCTGTATCTGTATCTGTATCTGTATCTGTATCTGTATCTGTATCTGTATCTGTATCTGTATGTGTATCTGTATCTGTATCTATATCTATATCTGTATCTGTATCTGTATCTGTGTCTGTGTCTTCACATAGTTCATTCATCTGTATTTAATCTGTATTCACTTTGGTATTAAGCTACTTAAATATTAGCTTACAATAGCCTGATATACTTCTGTCTTTATTTCTGGGCTTTCTGTGGCTATTGTTGTTTCTGTTTCCTTTGCTTTTTTGCTTTATTTACTCATGATTGTCGCCATCATCGTGCTGGGCTCATTATTTTTATGGGTCTTTGTGCCCAGCGTTTCTACCAAAAGTGATCTAAATCTATTGACTGAACTCCCAGAGACCCCCTTCCTGCCATTCCAGAATGGAGCTGAAGTCGCAGTCGGAGCTGAGGTTACTGCAGCTTCTTCTGCTGGCTGCCACCTGAGAACCTGGCAACAAGCGAATGGCTTGCTATAATTTTTATGACGCTTTATGCTGCCGCATTTCTGACTAACTATTTATGCCAGCAGCAACAGCGGCAGCAGCAGCAACAGAAGCAACAACAGCATTCACTTATATTTTTATTGTTATTCATGCATAATGCCAAAAAGATAAATAACAAATAAATTTCTTACTAAGAGTATGTACTCTGGGCCCACTTCTAGCTCTCCCAGTTCCACTCTTCGTCTCTGTCTCTTTCTCAGTCTCTCTTTCGCTCTTGCTTGTCGAATGCTATGCGGTAATTATTAATAAATGCTGCTGCTTTTGGCTTTCGTCTGCGCCTCCGCTCTCTAATAATATTCACGCTTCGCTAAACATTGAAGAAAACTTAAAGACTCTGGCGACGGCGACTGCGACGGCGACTGCGACTCGAACTGGAACTAGAACTAAGGCTGAGTCTTAAAACTGAGACAGTGAATAGACCCTGGCCTGGCTCTCGGCCTGGGCCTGGGCCTAGGCTTGGGCCATGCCCTTAACGCTGCGACCGACAACCAAGAGCCGACGACCAATTGTCTTTTGGCATATTTTCAAGTTGAACGCTCGGCAATTTTTTTTCGTTTCTGTACGCTTTTTTCTGTCTTTTCTCTCTCTCTCTCTCTCTCTCTCTCTCTCTCTCTCTCTCTCTGTCTCCGTCTACCATTTCTAGAGATTTTCTAGTGCGATTAAGCGAAAAATGAAACAGTCTCATAAAAAATATCGCTGTGGCTCAGCGCCTGACTTCAAGTCTCCATATGTGTGTGTGTGTGTGTGTGCGTATGCTTGCGTGTGTGTGTATATGTGTGGATAACAATCAAAACTCAGCACATACATAAAAATTAAAAAAATGGTGGCTGTTATTGCGTTGTCGTTAGGCTTGGGCTCAGATCTGAGAGCAAATTGAAGTTACCTGATGTTATGCCTGCAAAGTTCAATGGCAAATTGCACTGTGGATTGCATGTGGATGCTGTGTTGCGTGATAAGTCTGCAACTGCAGTAGATTGCATTATATAGCCTGCTGATTGAATATCTTAGTTCACATTAGGTTATTGGGAGAGAATCTATAAGATAACATATATATTAATTATATTATTAATATTAATATATTAATTAATGTGTAATTGATCAACAATGCTTATATTCTTCCTTTATTCTCTGCTAGAAAGCATTTATACAGTTCTGTTCATAAAAATAGTAGTGCAAATGTGTTCGATTAGCTAGATTTATAGACTGCATTAAGCTTGTGATATCCAAATTGATCGGTTCAAGAACCTGTGGAGCAATACAACTGTCGCACATGTCAAGACTAGCTCGTCAACTGGCAGCAGTGGGTAACGCTTCAATAACTCATCTGAAAGTGTTCGCCCCCTTTTGTGCCGAATGCAAATTTCGTTGGCCGCGCTCTCTGGGCCATGGAGCGACTGGCTTTGGCTCTGGGTCTGGCTCTGGCTCTGGCTGCTTTGCATATTGACATCATCATTTTGCCGAGACGACAAGCTGTCAAACAAAACAATTGCTGTCAAATTTACTACGATGAGCCAAAAGGAAGTCAGATGAACAAAATACAGCAACAACAACAACAACAAAATGAAGCGAGGTATGCGAAAAAAAATACTCGATGAAAAAAATTGAGCTGTCAGTGTTTTTTTCTTTTATGGGGGAGCAATTTCAACATATCAATAAATTTTTGACAATTTCTGTAAGGAAGCGCACACACAGATAGAGAGAGAGAGAGAGAGAGAGAGATCCAAAGGCAACTGAAAACGAAGGAACACCTTTTCAATAAATTTGCTACAACTGTCAGGCGAAACAATGTCATTGTCACGGCGCAGCCGACTTGCAGGCGAACTGTGAGCCGACCTATAAACCTGTCACTGACTGAAAATTGAAGACCAGGCGACGCAACGGCCTTTGGGTTGTTGGTGCACAGCGCTGACAACGACAACAACAACGACGACGACGACGACATTATTGTCGCTAAACAAACGATCAAATGGCAATTTAAAAGTTTTTATTTAACACTAAATCACCCACACCCCGGCACAAATGAGACGCCATCCTTCGCCCTCGACGAGCCACCCACTTCACCCCTTGACGGCGTGGCCCACCTGACGTGCGCTTTCTTTTTCAATTTCGAACCCTTTCGACTCGCCCGAGCGCAACCCTTGCGCGATTTTCAATAACTTGTAGTGAAAGCAGCCGAACAAAAGGCGCAAAACTTTACCGAGCTAAATTATGAGCTTGTTTCAGTTTCTTTATTATTATATATCTGTTCTTTTTTTCCTGCTTCACTTTTTTTTTGACTTTCCACTTGTTTGGTTCGGTTTGCGTTCTGTTTTTTTTTTTTTTTTTGCCCCTGACTTTTGACTCTCCGTGGAATTTAACGCTGTTGTTTCGTTGCATGCATGAAAAAGTGTTCTTGCCGCAAGGGGCACGATGGGTAGCGGAGCTATCAAGTAAGGCATATTGGTATTGACAACATTGCGCAGCACATTCCATGCGAATGCGAACAATTTCCTTTTGTTAAATTGTTCAACAGGCATTTTTTTGGCAAAGGAATTTATGGGACATAAATTAGCATAAAATGTGCAGATTTTATAGCTGAAGATATTCGAGTTTGTTATTGAATATTGAATTGAATTAATGCATAGCAATTGCAATCAATAAATATTGCATTTTAAGAAAGATTTAAGTACATAAAGCAGGCTTGGCTCTCATACGATGCAGCCCTGCTGTAGATACAATTTTTTCCGACAATGCCTGTGAGAAAATATTGTATAAGTTTCTTATAGAATATGTGTTGGCTTCAACTAACCTGTTATTATGAAAGATCGCCTGCAACCAAACTGACCAAAAAAGGATGAAGTTGTGCAGATGAAGCCAATCGAGCAGTCAAGGGTTCTATTGTTATTATAATTGTTGCAGTTATTGTTGTTCTGATGCACACATATACTTAGCTGTTGCTACTCATCCTGTTGTTGCTGCTGCTGCTGCTGCAGCAACAATTGCGGTCATGCTTCGTTGAATGGCAACAACAAGAACTGTGAGGATGATGACGACGTCGCTGCATAGGGCTGATTGAAAGATTATTTTGCACTGATAACGCTAAAAATGTATGGTTGGATGGTTGACCACAAACTACCACCAGCACAACTACCAGCAGCAGCACCACCACCACCACCAACAGGGGCAACAACAAATAAAAGTCAAATAGAGCGAACAAAAATTGCAGTTCGAAAATTGTTGCGCTTTCGGTTTGCGTGTTTGCATTTTGCATTTAGCATTTTATATTCATTGCGTTGTTTGGCTGTCCGTTGTTCAATGTCCATTGTCCATTGTCGGTTGTTGTTGTTGTTGTTGTTGTCGGCTGTGTTGTTGGCGGCCGCTTGTCGGTTGTCTGCAACGCGTCGGGGTCGTCATCAATTCGCAATGCATTTCCCACATATTCAGCGACGTTGCGAGCGACCATCATCATTAATAATATTGAAAAGCCCTAATTACAGTTAAGTGGCCCAAACGAGTCGTGCATGAGCGAAAGAGACAGCAAGTGGTGTGTAGAGTGAGCGAGAGCGAGAGAGAGCAAGTGGTCTATAGGCAGCTAGCACGACTTATTGAACTAAGTCTCATATAAAGGGTGCCACCGTTTCTACTTCCAGCCACAAAACTGGGCAGCTAAGGAGCTGAGGCGCTGTCCCGCTCGTTGCGTAAATCATTTTTCCCACCCCTAAACGAAAAAAGGCGAGCGAGCGTGCTACATGCTCTGCACCTTCACCTGCCTGCACAAGGTGCCACAGGTTGTGCAGGTGCATGGACAAGTGCAGGCCCCTGACCCAGACACTGGCTGAGACCCCGACTGCTGATGACCCTTGCAATACTATAATGAAATCATTTATAACTTTTCTTCAACATGACCAATCGACTGTGCGTGTGTGTGTGTGTGTGTGTGTTGTTTGTGTGTTTGCTGTCTGTTTTGGGCTCGTTTGTAAGTAGTTTTCTTTGTAGCCAGGATCTGTTTGGCCCTCAATAACTATTTCGAGTTCCTTTAGCCACCGGCCCATTGATAACAGCAACGCTGTCGCACGTGGCCACTGCGCAGCTGCAACAGTCGAGACAGCTGAGAGAAATCGAGGGGTAAAGAGCGCGCTAATCGACCCTAAGATGGCTACGTTCATAATGATCTGTCATAAATATTCATATTTCGATTAGACTTTCAATTCAGAAGCGTTTATTCCCGACTATATAGTAATAGTGGTATCAAAAAATCAATAATCAATGCAGTCTGTGCCCTTTCCATTACAATTTGCAGGTTTTCATTTTGTATGGAGTTCAACTAAAAGTCAAATCACATGCTTTTAGCTCACTGCCGAAGCAGGCCTTGTTTTGTTTACACGTTTTTATTGCTGCTCCACAACTTTATAGGTCTGATACACATTTATTTTGAGTTTATTATGTCACACAAAAAAAAATAGATAAAAATTACTAACTGTTTTCTTAACGTATTTTGGGACCGAACGTAAATTTTGTCTTTTGGAATTCTCACTTAGCGCACAGATAAAAAATATACATAGCCAAATTCAAAAGGTGATTAGAAAAATGAACACGAACATATGGAACTCATCTCAAATGGCAGGCACTGGGGGCGCCCTCAAGGCGCTAGCCAAAAACCTGGCCAATCAGCTAACCCTTAATCGAACGGAAATGAAGCGCGTAGTAGCCCGCGTCATATCGGAGTGTCATGGTCAGGGCAATGTGGGCGATTACAATGGACACATGTTCTATGTGAAGCCGGAGCGGGTCGACATGACCAAACAGATAACCCACTCAAAGGAGGCATTCGACGAAATGTTACAGCAGAAGCGCATGCGCTCCAAGAAGCCGATGCCTCGCTCTCCGTCCGGCTCCCGATCGCTCACGTATAAGTTGACCGTCGATGATAAGAAAGACAAGAGCCTCACCGGCGTCATCATCGACCAGAATCACTTGCGACAGCGTGGCCAGCCGACAGAGATCGTTGTCCAGATGTCCAAGCAGGTAAACCAAAATAAGTGTAGACAGCAGATCAAGCGCCGACCACTGGTACGCTCCAGCAATCAATTTATAATTAGAAAAAAACAAGCAAGTGGTCATTCGACAATGCTCGGCAACCCCAAAAGCTTAGTCAAGTTTCAGAAAAAACCCAAGTTCGTTCAATTAACTCAAAAGAAGTCGGTGGCCAAGAACGCTCCGAGAATGGCGAAGTCCAAAATAGTACCTGTGAAAACTCAAAAGTCTCGTCAGATGGCACAGCCAGCCCCGTCCCAGCCTCGAATGCGGGCTGGTAATGTAGCGCGGCCAACGCCGGTGGTCATAAAAGAGCTACCCAAGAGCGATCCCCCCGGCTGCATTCGTACGCCAATATCCGTTTCGCCCACACCGCCCAAAAAGCCGGGGATCCTTAAGAAAGCCAAGAGTGTCAAGTTAATGAAAGCGAAGAGCGGTAACAGCTGCCGGCACGTACCAGAGGAAAAGACTAAGAGGAAGACGAACCGCCTGGCGGCCGGCGGTATCCTTATCAAAGATAGTCGATCCAAGAAATCAGCGAACAAGAAGCGCGAGAAGTTGCCGTGGCGCCTGGCATATAAGTTTCCAAGTAACTCAGGTCCCGTCTACCGGTCGAATCCACCAATCACCAAACAAAAATTCAAGTCAAGGACTAAGCCAACATTGGTCACTAAAACTAGGCAAGTCATGTCTGCGAATAGCTGTCGGCGCTTGCGTTTGAAGCGCTCGCAGGCGCGCATAGCCAAAGATTTGGAGCGGGACGAGGCTATCGATGATCCGGAGCGTTTAGAAGCTGGCAGCTTGCATAGCTTTCGAGCCAAAGGTGAAGGTCCAAAGTCAAAGATAAAGCGTTGCTATAAGATTAGCGCACGGCTGCTTGAGCTGGCAAAGCCAGCGTTGCATCGCCGTTTTGTACCGGAGACACCGGCTCAATACATCCGTCCGCCCATCTTCAAGCCGAAGCATAAACTGAGGCCACGTCGTCGCAAACGCCGCGTCCTCGTGGATAGTAGCCTGGGCAGCATTGAGGGTATGAGGCCAACCTCGCGATCCGGCCTATCGCCGGCCAAGCGCAATCTTACGCTCGCATTCATGAACAAAGAGGGGTCACGTAGTCCGCGAAGTCCACGACCTCGACGCAGTGCCCTTTGGAGGTAATTGACAGTATCAGTAGTCCTTTATTTAAGTTCTGATTGCGGACGTTCTCCATACATTGGGAGCTCGTCTTTTGTCCTGTAACATTTTCGCAGACACCTAATTAAATTTTGAAGTTATGACTGATGTGATTAAATAAAATAATCCCTAAATGCTATGCCAAGACTTTTTGGGTAATCGGTTTGTCTGATCAGTCTAAATGATCTCTTTTGACGTGGACAAAGTAATTTTGTATCATACCAGAGTATATCCCAAACTTAATTACCAATATCATTGGTGCTTTGTTTTTCCTATGTTTACTCGCGAGCCAAAAAAAAGAAATATATATATATATATATATATATATATATAATGGCTTGAAAGGGTGTTCGGAATCATTTAAGCATTGCGGTGTGAAATTTCACACCGATTGCAATAAAAATTCAAGCGGCCAACAATAAAACGGGCTGCGGCAAGAGAAAGGCGCTACATTGAAACAGAATCAATCAAACTGGGGAACGATCGCGGCTGAGGCAGGGACCCAGGTCTGTCGACATCTGCGCATGCGCCGGATGTGAATGTGTGTTGTTTGGTAGCTGGGGCAGTCGATCCGGGCCATGTTGAGGCGGCGTTAATGGTGTCACTAAGTACGCCGCAAACAGACCAACAGACAAACGGACAAACAGACAATCGACTGACGACTGGCAACCGGACGCGCGTTGGCCCTCAGCTGAACGTCTGATCATCGAATGGAACCAATAAAAGTTGCCTTCATTGTCTTTATTTGCGCGGGTCGCGCGTCTGTGCGCAGCCTGCACTCAATGTACGTCATATACTCGCACTCATTTCCATTAGCATTTCATTCAATTTGCATTCGGTTGGCCGCGGGTCGCGGACAGTGTACGGTTGAATGGTGTTGCGGCTGTTGCGGGTGTTGCGGGTGTTGCGGCTGTTGCGGGTGTTGCGGCTGTTGCGGGCACATGCAACCAAAACAATTCAATTGTCCGCCTGGTTGGGTTTTTTTGGTGTTGGCTTTCTTGTTTTGTAGCTGTCAGTTGCGGTACATTGCATATCACACGTTAGCAATGTGACGAATCCGATAACGATAACAATGACAACGTCAATGTATCGCACTCAAATTTTCTATGAATTCAATATAGAAATATCACTAGAGACGCGCTTATCCTATATATATGACTAGTTCAAGATTGGGCCACACTCGTCCCCTGGCTCAAAAACAAATCAAAATCGTTATCGATCATATAATTGGTTGCTATATAGAAAAGCTCAACAGTGAAAGCAGCTGTCAAGACTTGAGATCTAGCTCTAAAATTTGTGAAAGCTATAAATAAAGTAGCCGATTTATATAATTTATATTATATAAATATAATAATGGTCCTATGGTCAAACGTATCAGACTTATTGTTGGCTCCACCTTCTGGTCTTGGTTGCCCGAGTAGCACTCTAACATTTCATCTGTATCAACATCGAAACATCGACAATGGAATACGGATGTTAATTGATAGCTCAATGTGTCTAACTTGTTGCACAGCCCAGAAGTCTAGTCTAAATCGATCTGAGTAACCACCTCGGGACCCTTACATTCTTTCCCCATGCTCGCTCGGATCGGCTAAGTGCCCGCATATTGAAACTGGCAGCCGCAGTAGCTGGCGCATTTGCAGTTGCAGTCGCTGTCGGAGTCGACTCGCACTCGCATCGAGTAAATGTTAATTGTGTCTGCAATATTTTTTCCAATGAAACATTTTTATGTTAATTCGAAAAATTGTTTTACAACCAATTAACTTAGCCAATGCACCAAAAAGATCAACGGACAAGATCGTTCACTCGGCAACAGCAATGGCAAACGGGGAACTGGGAAATGGGAACTAACGAGTGAGGGTGAGGGTCATCAGGGTGAGGGATAAAAGGCCAGCGGATCGCATTGCATCGCATGCCGCACGCCGCTCGGAATTTCATTACGCGACTGTCAGTTAGCTCAACCAGAAGTCAGCCAGCGGGCAGGCAGGTGTACAGGCAGCCACCACCACACATACTCTCTCACTCTCTCTCCTTCTCTCTCTCTCTCTTCGTCTGTTGGTGGTTGTTAGGGGCGCTGTTTGCTACGGGTCCTCAGCTAGGCTCGCTCTAAATCAATCAAGCGCAACAAACGCCAAAAACACAAACAATTTCAATTAAAATGCCAGCGTAGCCGCCACCGCCACCGCCAAAGCCACAATGAGTCCACTCACTGACATACCCCTCCCCCGCCGCCGGTTGTAATGGCGCGCGCGCTGCAGCTACAGGTGCGATTGTCAGCAGCTCCTGACCTCCGACTGCTGACTGCGGTCGTGTAATGTAATTAGGAAGTTATGTGAGGGTTGCCGTCGCATCAATCGAACCATCGATCGCCCCGTCGATCGCTTCACATTTAAATGCGATCGTCGAGGTCTAGCGAATAAAGTCATTGCGGCAGCTGCTAGGCTATTGGGTTGTTTTGGTAGCTCCTTATGCTGCCACTGCCTTCAAGTGGTCATTCGTGATGTGCAGGTTTTCCTTTTGGACTGATCAAATGTTTCCCATGGCCAGCAGAAGATCTTCATTAGTTGTGTGGCGCGGCTATCGAGCTGACAGATCAGATCTTTGCGCAACTGCTCGACATCCTTAGAGAAATATGATTTTTGTTACGTTTCGCCATCTTTCGACTCCTGACTAACCAACCGACTGGCCTACCGCCCGCCCCCTGGCTAACCCAGCCGGATGATATACGAGGAATGCTCCAGCTAATCTAGCGCTGAGCATCGAAGTCACGTTGTTCTCAGCTTTGCTGCTGCTACGGCTGCTGTTGTTGTTGTTGTTGTTGACTGGGTTGGTTGGTTGGTTGGCTGTGATGTTTTTGGTGTCTGCTTTTGTGCCATTTTGAGGCGGCGTCCACGACGACGACCACGCACTGGAGCTGGCTCTTCTATGAATCTATGGAAACTAGGCAAGCTAATTGCGTTCCGTCAACGTATAGGTGAATTATTATAAAGAAGCCATAAAAAAATTATTATAGCCAACTGACGGCTCAGCCCCACTCGCTGATCGCGGTGACGATAAACGTGGCAACAACAACAACAACAGCACGAAATCAGAGCTCGTTAAAAAATAACAAAACAACAAAAAAAAATAAAATAAAAACACTCTCAGGTTGAGCCAATCAAAAGACGCGCAGTCGCCGCGTACCCATAAAAGCAGCGAAAACAACAACAACAAATTATTAAAAACCAAAAAAAAAAATTAAGAAGATGAAGAAGAAGTATATATATACACACTGAGAGACATATAGTATCATAGGGTATCATTGCAGAATGGAAATGTGTATATCAAAAATTGGCTAATGTTGCCAAAAGTAAACTATATCTTCATATACCTGTCTGTGGCACGAGTATGTGTGTGGTGAAAATGTGAATGGTGACGCTTTTCGTTGTTTCTGTTGTTGTTGTTTCTTTTTCTTTTTCTTTTTGGGGAGCAGTTAGCAACTTGTATTGAAAGTTCATTGTACGGTACAAACGATGTTGGCGTCCACATTAAAACTTGATCTATGACCCATTGTTCTGGCCGCGTTTCGGAAGTTGCTTTCCATTGGTTGTCTTTTAGCTCAACTGCTTTTTACAATGTGGACAAAAACGACGCCAGCGGACGGAGAAGGCAGAATGTTTGTGGACTATGGCAAAGCGCAAAATAGATTTCACTAAAGTCTATTCGAAATGAGCGTTTATCGTTATCGATCCCGCTGTGAGAGCCGATATTTAATAAAAAAAAATTATTTTAACTTGAAATTTGATACATTTATATTTTTATATTTTCAACCATTTGAGGTGTGGCTAAGCGAAAAAGACTATATATTCTACAATCTTACACATAGAAACTTAAAAACTTGTGAGCTCTACTTTAAAGTGCAAAAAATCTATATTTTCCTCAGATATGGAGCCTAAGTGCCAGAGCTCGACAGTTAGGTTACTATAGTTCCTTTTTAAGACTGTCCGCAAACCAAATATCCATGCTTATTCATAGCTCATCGGGGGAAACGGCTATAAATTTCATATTCCAGGAAGAACAGCAGCACAACAGGCATAATATATGGCCCATTTTTTGGTGAATTTTAAATGATTTTTGAATGCTGTTTTGAAGTTTTAACATAACACAACATTTAACATGAAGAAGGTTTAACATAATAATAAAATATATAATATTCAATAGTGGCATTAAGGGTTTTAAGTATCAATACAACTATAATGGCATACATATCTGAAATGAATAGATTTTTTTCAATTCAACTCTTAAGCAGAATCTGTATTCGATGTCTTAGCAAAACTTGTGTCTGCTGACTGGAGAAAAGTCGAGGTCTGTTTGCGGGTGCCAAAGACGCCCATTAAAGCGAACCACTGAACCAAATCTGGAGGGTTGGCTAGCCCCGTCTTAAGCTAATCGCGTTTGCCAAAAGGAGGGAGTCGTAATTTATGCCATAAAGTAGGATTAGCTAGCTGCTCCGACTGCTCTACTATTGGCTCACTGTTTTATCAATTATTTCGCGTACATAGATTTTGCTGACCGTGCCACATGCATATGGATGCATGCATTTATAGGCGGTAGCAAAGTTTTTGCCCATATTTTAAGCGTTCATAATTTTTACATTGTTCTATCACGCGAATCGCCGTTCGCGTTTACGGCTCCCTTGATGTATGGCCAAACCCCAATAACTGAACACCACCCCACCACCGTGTTCATCTGCAACGGCAACTCCAGCACTTCAACTCCATCTCCATCTCCATCTCCATCTTCCATCTTCCAACTCCCATTTCCCATCTCCATCTTCATCAATCCGCCAACTACCAGTCTTCATTTCGCATTCTTCATTCCCTATTCTCAATCCACATTGCAATGGACTTCTGTATGTAATGCATACTCCATTGCTTCCAGTCATTATGCCTTCGGGCATAAATCAGCGGCAAAAAATTATGACGCCGCTTGTTGAACCACCACAAGAAGAACAAATGGAAGACCTAGCTAAAGTAGTCTAAGAAGTCGCTGCCATTCCCCTCCCTCAACTATCTTAGCCCACACTAAGGCTGTCTCCTTCGCTCTGCTCCAGACTATCAGCTAAGA